AGAATCCAGAGACTAAGCTTAAGGCTCCAACATCAGAGAAATGAGTGAAATCCCGTCTGCTTGAATCCCACAGTGGGGTCACCCAGTGATCCCCAACCTCAACTTCAGCAGGCCCCCAATGATGTCCCATCCCTGCTCACCAAATCTCTCAACTCCCCTAGGCCGCCCCACCCTGACTCACGACTGTTCCAGCATTGTCCTGACTCCTTCCTCTCCTCCACCCCTTACACCCCATCTTTCACCATATTGGTCAACCCACCTCCTGAGTCTTCCTCACATCTTCTTGCTAGTCCTGCTCCTCCCCTTGAGAAGGACCAGCCTCCAGCCTTGTCATCCATTTTCTACCCAGAGTAGAGAATGCCAGAGCAATGCTCCCAAAATATCGATCTGATGCTATGGCTCCCGCCTGTGCATTGCTGTTCCCATTACTCATCATAGAAAAGGCCAGCGCCCTAACACAGCCTACAAGTTCCTGTTCACTCGCTGGCCACACACCCACCAGACCGGGCATCAGACACACCTGCCCCTGCCACTCTCCCTGGACTCTTCACACAGGCTGCTGCCCTTCTTCATCTCTCCCCCTTCTGTGCCATGTTCAGGTTCCCACCAGGCCTGAACAGTCTCCCCTCCTCTGGGGAATCTTCTCTGGCCAGCCGAGTCTGGGTTCCCACACAGCTCCCTGGCCTGTGTCATTAGTCTGTCTGCCAAGGCCTTATCTGCCCGTCTCCCCTCTACATCGTCACCTGTGTGATTAGGCCTAAGTCTGTGCCTCTAGAGGGTTTCCTCGGTGAGCCTGGCAAAGTATAAATATTTGTTGAATGAATGAAAGAACGACCAAGTATCAATGAGGAGGTCCCTGCAGTACAGTTAAGCACTCAGCCACTAACTGAAAGGTTGGTGGTTCAAACACACCCAGAGGCACCTCAGGGGCAGGCCTACAGTCTACTTTCAGAAAACTCAGCTGTTGAAAACGCTATGGAGTGCGTTCTACCCTGACACACAGGGGGTCGCCATGACTGGGAATGGTCTCCACAAGTGGTGGCGGCAGCAGCTCTTAGCAGCCTCCTCTGTCATCCCTGAGCCAGTGAAGTGGGGTAGAAAGAAGGCCTAGGAATTCACAGGGTCTGGGTTCTGTCCCAGCTCTGCCACTAACTTTCTGTGTGTTCTTAGAAAAACCCTCCCCGTCTTGTTTCGTCATAAGTAAAAGGGGTTGGAGGAACGGCCTTCTAAGGTCTCCCTTGGTCCGGCGTTCATTCCCCTTCCTCACACCAAGGCAGCCTCCTGACTTGACTTCGCGTGAACATGCCTTTGGCCCTGCTGTTTCTGCGTCCTGAGGACTGTCCCTCCCCTTTATCCCACCTATCGAACGCCAATCCATCCACTGTGTACATCTTTTCTAGACTTTTTTTTTTATAATGAACTTGTATCACTTTAATTTTAAATTGTCTTATTATTTTGTACATTACAGAAGCAACCCTATGCTCATTGTTTAAAAAGGTAAAAAAAAGTAAAGTAAAACAGGAGTATGTGAAATGAGAAATGAAAATCCCTCATCCAACACCAAACTAAAACCAAACTCACTGCCTTCCAGGCAGTCCCGACTCAGAGAGACCCCGTCTTTGGTTTCTGAGGCAATATCTCTATGGAAGTAGATTGCCCAGTCTTCCTTTGGAGGAGTGGCTGGTGGTGGTGGGTTTGAACCACCAGCCTTCTGGTTAGCAGTCAAATGCCTTAGGCACTACGCCGCCAGAGCTCCCCATCCAATACCACACACAGAAAAAACTTCTAGGAACTGACTGGCGCTTTGATAAGCTACCCCCCCTCCCCCCCCGCCACACACAAACATCCTAACACATATTTCCTTAAAACTACCACCACCAAACAAATGTTCCCACCCTCCCAGGTCCACATCATACTTATCCCTTCCTCAAAATCTCCTCCACTGTTCCAAGCCCAGGGCTCTTTGTTTTCAGGGTGGCTCTGAAATCCCACTGCCTGGGTTCAAAACCCAGCCCTGTCACTTACCTAATTTCTCTATGCATCAGTGTCCTCACCTGCAGAGTAGGATACTAATAATAACACTCTCTCTATATGGCTATCATGAAGAGTAACTGCTCTAGAATCAGAAAAATGCTGAGAACGGTACCTGCTGGACAAAGCAAGTGCTTGTCGAGGGTTAGTTCTTACCACTGTTACTCCTGTCTCCTCCAGAACCCGATTTTACCCTTAAAAACCAACAAACCCACTGCTGTCGAGTCGTATCCAACTCTCAGCGACCCCTCCTTGGGTTTTCAAGGTGGTATCACTACAGAAGTAGATTGCCCAACCTTCCTTCGGAGGAGTAACTGGTGGATTTGAACTGCCAGCCTTCTGGTTAGCAGTCAAATGCCTTAGGCACTATGCCACCAGGGCTCCTTAAATATTAAACCAGTAAGTCATTACTGAGCACCCAGTCTGTGCTGGGGGGCAGCAGTGGGCCAGCAGTGGCATCCTCGCCTTCCACTCAGGAGTCCCCCAGTCTATGTGCCCTGTGCATAGCCTCATTTCTCAGTGAAGGCTTGTGTGTGGCCAGGACACCAAACAACATCCAGCAGAACCTGTAGACTAAGATGGGCTTGGAAGAAAGGCCAGGAAATCTACTTCTGAGTATCAGTGGATGCAAACCCTGTGGATCCAACTGTCTGATCTGCAGACGACCATAGGGATGGTGCTGGGTTCCGTTCCACTGTGAGTGAGGTTGTCTTGAATTGGGGGCTCAATCGGCACTAACGACACTTCGTGCTGGGCACTGGGGACACTAGCATTTAGGTATTGAGCCTGCATGCCCCCTGGGAGCTGACAGTGGGGTGGGAGCCCAGACACATGCTCTTTCTCTCTCTCTCACACACAGACACAGACACGCGCTAAAAACAGCCCCACATGCATACAGCTCTTCAGAGCTCTTGAAACACTCAACATGTGTTGTCTTATCTCAGTCTTGGGCCTGCCCTGAACACAGGCCAAAGCAATAAAGGAGCAAAGAAGAAACAGAGGCTGGGGGGGTGGTGGTAAATGCCCAGTCTTGGGCACACAGCTAAGAAGGCCATGCAAGGACACAAACTCAGGCCACCTGGATCCATCATCCCACCAAAGAGCTCCAAGAGCACTAACAGCCCAGGGTTAAACCGAGCTGGACCAAGGGCTAGGAGAGGCGGGAAAGGGAAAGGGCAGCGGGGGCTGCTGGAGCAGGCGGGGCGGGCTTTTTGGGGCCTCAGACACAGACCTTTATTATTCCACAAGCAGGCCTGTTCTCCACAGCCAGCCCTAGTGGCCTGTAGGGCTGGGCCCACGCTTCAGCCTTGTTTGTGCTGCTGTGCTCGGCCCACCTGGCCCAGAGCTGGACACACACACACTGGCTGATGTCACCTTGTCAGCTTCTCACCCTTCAGCTTCCATGATACTCTGCCTGCCAGGGTGCAGGGTGGGAGTGGAGAACACTGACCTGGGGTCCCTTCCAGCCTCAGCCTCTGCCTTTCCTGGGATCCTGAGGCACGTTAGTCTGTCTTCCTGAAACTCAACATGCTTATTGTTAAAATGGGCAGACCAATACCCACTCACAGGGTGGTCATTAGGGTTAAATGAGCCAACACTGGGGAAATGCCCTGAAATAAAAACGCCTGCAGACACGTGTTGAACACCAACCTGATGCCCACAGTCTCATTTCCAAGCAGGGGCTGATATTAACATGTAGGACTCAGACAGGACAAAAATCATGCCGTTGGTGGGTTGGATCCCAGAATCCTCGGCTCCAAGCCTGCTGCCCCTCCACTGCCAAAGGGCCCCCACCAGCCCAGTGTGTCTGCGTGGCAGCAGCATGTGCCACAACAGGTGAGTCTCAGCCTGAGGCCCAGAGCTTGGCCTTCTCCATCTGGTCCCCTCCCTCTGGTCCTCCTGCTCAGCTGCAGGCCTCAGGGGAGGTCCCTGGGCCTGATGATGCCATTAGAGGTCCTGAGGGTCCCAGCCCACCTGAGGGCCTGGGAGCCAGCCATCTTCTGGTCAGAGGGGCTGGCGCCAGAGCCCAGCTGCGGCCTGGCTGGGGTGGGGGCCCCAGGAGAGGGGGAGGCGCCGGCTCATTATATGGAGAAACAATGGGGTTTGCTGAAGCCCTTTCTCTCAGGCTCTGGAGCAGTTACACCATCCTCATCAACTGGGGTCAGGTTTAAGGGGGAGGTTATCCCTCCGTCCAACAACACTCACACTTCAATTCTCTGGCGATAATACCAAGTTGTGTGTGTGTGTGGGGGGCAGGGTATGGGAAGGGGAGTTCAGGTCAGAGTCTGGTACTTATCACAAGGGGCTCCCCAGTGTCCTTGGCTCCTCCTGCGGGACCCCCTTCTCACAACTGGGCCTAGGATCTCGGGGTGTGTGTGTGCATGTGTATGTGTGTGTGTGTGAAGGCTAAGCCTGGTGCTTGCCCAAGTCCACAGAGGGTCCTGGCAGACCAGGCCTGGAAGTAGAGCCCATCTGGCAAGGAAGGGCTGGGGGAGGGGCCGAGACACCCTCCTTCCAGCACCAAGGTTGTTAGTTGCCCCAAGAAACTGGGTCCCACGGGGCACCCCAGCCTGCTTCCATCTCTTTTCAGAAACCTTTGGACTGGGCACAGGCAAAGAACCAGCCTGCATGCCTCCTGTGGGATCGCAGTCCAGACTCCAAGTCCAGCCTCTGCGCCCAAGTGGGGAGCAAGCGGCCTCCGAGCCCCCTCCTCCAATTCCAGCTCTGGATCGCCGACCGTAGAGCGCGGAATGGCGGAGGAAGCAGTATCATGAATATGCAGCAGCTATCAGTCTAGGCTGGAGGATGAGGGGGCTTCTGGACGGGGGATAGGGTCGACTCTCTGTCCAGGGAAGAGACTCCCATGCCCATGCCGCCGCACGCTCCTGGGGCCCAGTTGGGGGGGGGGGCGAGGAGAGGCAGATCTGTCCCAGTTTAAGGGCGGTGCGCGCGGGACTCGGGGTTCTCACCTGAAATTGGGAGGCGATGCGATGTGCAGCCCCAGGAATGGGGAGGCGGCAGGCGGGGACGCGGCCCCCCCGCCCAGGCCGCCGCTCTCTCGCTCCGCCATTCTTGGGCCCAGCCCTGGCCATCCGGACGGAGCGCAGCGCGGAGGAGGCGGCGGCGGCGAAGGTGGAGGCTGCCGCGGGGAAGGTGGTGGCGGCGGCGGCCGAGAGGCGGAGGCGCTGCAAAGGGGCCGCCGCCGGGGCTCGGCTAGGCGGCGCGCGGGCGCACCTGCGCAGGGCAGGGCGCGGCTCCGGACTGCGCACCGCTCTGCACTGACGAGAGCGCCCCCGCGCGCAGCACGGGCCCTAGCAGGAGTCTCGTGCGTCCCGCCCCTGCCCCGCCCCCGGCCCGCCGAGCCACGCCCCGAAACGCTCTCCGAGGTGCTGAAGTCGCGGCCCCCGCGCCTCGCGCGGCCTCGACTTTGGCCCCGCCCAGCCCTACGCTGACCCCGGTCTTCCCAAGGCAAAGCCTCCCTGCTATCCTGATGGGCTTGGCCCAGTCTATCTCTTGGGGCAGGCCTAACGCCAGGGCATCATTAGGTAACTAATGGCAGGCCGCTATCGTCAAGGCCCTGGCTAGCTTCTCGCAGCAGACAAAGGCGGGAAAGGAAGGTCATTGAGAAGGAGGGAGGGTGGAGGGAGAGGACTCCTAGAGCAGAAAGCCTTGGACTGACATGGCGTGAATTCCCCGTGAAGAGGCAGTGGGGCTTCGCATGAGTGACTTGACCATCCTAAAGCTTGTGTTCTCATCTGTGGAACAGAGACAATAATACCCCTCTCATGGTTGTTGTGAGGACAAAATGTCACACACATAGGTTGTCACTGGAAGCCAGGCCACATCCTCCCTCCTTCACTAGGATCCAGGCCTCATCCCATTCCTGTCGCTTTACTTTGTCCCAAAGGGCCCTCTCTAGAGGATCTACTTTCTGAAGACTGGTCAAGGCTCCCTTCAGCCTCAAATAGTTACTAATAGTCAATTGAGTCCCTCCTCTTGGCTTCTCAGTCCCTCCTCTTCTACTTCCTTATGTCAGGACTTGCCCAGTTTTCTCCCTCCTCACTTACTGCCTCAACTGCATTTCCAGCAAAGCATGTCTCTATTACCTTCACAGATAGCTGGTTTCTCACACTCTTAAGACTTGGGGCCTCTCCCTCTGCTCCCACCTGTTGTTGCCTTTTGGAATTCTTTTGGTTAAGTTTCTGTTCCTTTCTGCACTTCTGCCCATGCTAGGCTTGGGCTGTGGTTCCCTTCTCGTTTCTCTCTTCTGAGAAGCCTAACCTGGGCCTGTGAGCCTACAGGGCCCTGTGTTCCATGGTTGAGCTCACAGGCTGCTGAGCACTCAAGTGAAAGACCCTAGCTTTAGTGGGTCACAGAACCTCTGGCCAAACCTCACTGGTTTCTCTGGCCAACTGAGAGAATCACATAGGTCCTATGCTTCCCCTCTCTGTAGAAGGGGCAGAGCAAACTGTGTCACAGCTTGAGGAACCCTATTTGCAAATGTGGACTGCCAACAGGTCATGATGGTTCCTTTGCTTCCAACGCAGCACCGAGACAGGAGCTGCCAAGTACCCACCCTGCAGTAGACAACCCTTCAGTTCCAGCCACAAGAACATTTCAATAGGCAGAATCAAAGGCCCTGGCTGCACCTCTCCTCCCTGCCCCTCGGGCCCAGATAGATGGCCACTTTATTTTCCCCACCATTTGGCCCAGGCCCCTTTCCCTGGGTCCTCATGGTAACCATCTGTGGCTATGTTGCCTGGCTTTTCCTCCCAGGAAGGCAGTCATGCTTTCCATAGCTAATAATTGTTCCTTAGAGCCTGTGCTTATCTAAGCTAGGGAGGATGGAAGGTCAGGAATGTGTAGGGCAAGTCTTTCTTTCAGAATCTTCTGCTCAAGAACAAAGGAATCTTAGCCTCAGGACCAAACCAGAGCCATATGAGAAGCCAAGAGACAGGAGAGAGGGAAGGGCAGGCCCAGGTCTTGGTGGAAAGGGGGACAGCAAGAGCTTCAAAACAAGTCAAGAAATGAGATGGGTCCAGAGTCAAGTTGCTCCATTTTCTCCCTTTTTCACTCAGTGCAGGACAGACATTCCCGGGCCTTGCTGAAGCCCCTTCTCACAAGGAGTTGGCATGAGAGCTACCAAAGCTCCCATCCCAGTTGTCCAATCCCAGGTCAGTGTCCCCAGCAGGAAAACCCATGCATCCTGTAAGAGAGGGGCCACTCTGGACACAGGGCATGGGGGAAAGCCAGCACCCACACCTTAGCTGTGGGCAGATCTTGATCACCTGTCCACATAGCTTACCACACAGCTGCAGGTGAAGGGGGCATTGAGGGAGAGGATGGAGTGAGGGTCTGGAGAGGGCTGCCAGAGTCAGAGGTGGGGAGGGGGAGCGAAGGGGACTGAGAGATTGGGTCAACGTAGGACAGGACTCAGGAGCCCCATCCTGGGCTGCAGCGCTTGGCACTGTTCTGGCCGAACGACCTCAACTCTTGAGTGTGCTGCTCTGGAGCTGTCACTGGTCTGCTCAGTTGCTCACCTGGGAGCACAGAGGGGTGAGAGGCTGCTAGTTCCAGCAGAATCAAGATGGTCTGGCCTGAGGCATCAGCCAGGCTCAGCCTTACAGACCCTGGTCCTCAAACCTCCCACAAGATTGACGACAGCACAGTTTTGCTTGGACAGGATCAGACGTTTATAAAACAAGTGAATATTCAGAAACAAACCGTGGGAGAAACACACCTTCCCAGCAATAGAAAAGTCTCTGTATAAAGTGCATTTTGCCTGCGACCATCTCTTCCCCACGCTGGCCCTTGGATCAGGGTTTGCATCACTGTGGCACCCACTGGGCCACCCAGGCTAGGAGAGGAGAGGCGTGAGGCCCTGGCGGAGCTCCAGGTCACTGGCTGGACCTTCTCCTCCTCCGCCCCTCCAGCTCCAGGGCTGGACTGCCTCACCCCACGGCAAGGTCGTCCTGGGGATGGGCCAGCATGCCAGAGAGGGTGGAGAAGCAGGGGACGTGCTCTTGCCAACTTGTACTTTTGGGGAGAGAACCACCATCAAAGTAGCACAAAAAGGGAACCATCTTGATGTTTAAAGATGTTGCTAAACAAATGCTGAATTTGGCCCGAAGTCCTCCGCCTTCTCCATTCTCAGACAAGCCCTTCCAGGCTTGCTCGACTTCTCCATTCTCAGACAAGCCCTTCCAGGCTTGCTCGACTTCTCCATTCTCAGAC